AAAAAAAAAAAAAAAAAAACGGAGAAAAGTAACCGCCGTGAATTTAGAATTTGTATTAAATGTGTGTATCTCCGTTACGGAGCGCCGCCCATTCCGGTTGGTATTTAATAATAATAAATAATAAATAAAAAAAAAGGCGGGGTTGGAGGTCTTTTAATTTCGCGGCTGAGTTGTCAAGTGCGTTTCGATACCAAATAAGAATAACGAAAACAAGCACAGTCGTTATGATTTATGCGTCCGGAGAAGATGACAGGTCACAGTGGCTGCCTGGATTCATATAGTCGTCTTCAACTAATATATATAATATATATTACTTTAATAAATGTGAAATCCAATATTCAAATCTCACCATTTTGGGCCCCTCGAGATTTTCTTCTTTCGTGTTTTGAAAATGAATTAACGTGGGGTTTCCCGCTCTTTTTTATTTAAATAAATAAATTATTAAAAAAAAAAAAAAAAAAAAAACCCTAAAATAAAGGACAATGGATTCGGGTTCGGATCTTGTACAGCCGCGCCGCAGATTTCTCCACAATACACTCTCACCGTGTTTTCGTCTCTGTCTCTGTCTCACGCGGTCAAACATTGTTGGAGCTAATTTACGAGTTTACAATCACAATAAATTATGTGTGTTTTGATTTAGTAGTGTACCAAACAATATTGAATGGTTAAATAGTGCATGAGGATTGGGTGTAGCTGTACCCATTTAATTTATTTGGCGAGGAAGAACAAGTCAATTTAATGGCTACTCCTTTTGAAGTTCAAGTTCAAGGGATCCAGACATTCATTTACTATTCTTCCAATTTGGGCCTCATTTAGGCAGCCCATAAAGCCTTGCAACCCTATACTCGAAGAAGCAACCAAACTTGGGTCTGGGCCCAAAGGCAGGCAACCTTCTTTCTTTCGGCCCAAATATTTGTAACCTTCTTACTTTGAGTTGAGATGAGAAATTAATTCCCAAAATAAAATAGCGTCACATTTGTAGTGCAATAGAAGAAAAGGCAATATGTCGAAACAGTGTGCCCGTGAAAATGGCATCACATTTTTACATCAACATCAGCCACAACAACCTCCCCAGTGGCTTGGCCACTTGCCATGGCACTCGCTTTCAAACCCTCCTTCTCCCAATCAATCCTCCAAACGAACGCCAATAGCAAACCCAAACACCCAAATACCCCAACCAAAAACCCCATCAACAACCCACCAAGCCCAGCCCCAACTTTAAACCCCAAGATCAATCCCAAAGGCAACGCCACCCCGTAGAATCCTCCAAGATTCGCGCATAGTCCCATCAATGGCCTCCCTATCCCCCTCACAATCCCTCCACAAACCGCTAACGGATAGTTCACTACCTCAATCGCTGCCATCAAAACCAGCATCTTCTTCACCATTCTCAGAGTCCCTTCATCCTTACTGAAAATCTTCCCCCATTCCCCTCTCGCCGCCACCATCGTCGCCGCCCCCAACAACCCAAACCCCACACTTGCCACCACCGACACCCCGGCCGATCTACGCGCTTGCGTTGCACGATTGGCGCCCAGCTCGTTTGAGACGCGCGCGGACGTGCATGTGGCTAGCGAGAGCATAACGGCAAAAAGCAAATAGTCGAAGTTTAAAACGATGGCTATGGTCCCCACGGCTTGTTTGGCGTTGCGAAGACGGCCCGTGAGAAGGATCAGAATCTCGTAGCACCACCATTCGAGGCAGGTGGTTAAGCAGCACGGTCCTGACAGTTTAGCCAATCGAATCCAATCTCCAACCGTTTGATCGAACCATCCACCTTCGCGATTCGTCTCTTTCACCAAAACGTACACCGCGAGCGAAATCATTGCGACGAAATCGGTTACCCAGATCGCCATTGAAACCCCAATTAACCCCTTGGATTTAGCCAGAAAAATGTTGATGGGAACGTGAAGAGCCAGAGCCATGGACGAGCTTATCATGATCGGGAGTGTTTCAGTTTTCGAACTGAGATACGATTTTAATGGACAGAGGAATGAAGTGACGACCAAATCGGGGAGAAGGTAGAGGAGGTAGGACTTAGCGGCGAGGGAAATGTCCTTCTCTTGACCGAAACGGATCAAAATTGAGTCGACGTTGAGCCAGAGGAATGAAATTGGAATCGTGACGAGGAGTAAGAGAAAAATGGACATGAGGAGCGTCTTATGTAGGAGTTTGAAGTTCTTGGCACCGAAAGCTTGGCCGCAAATGGGTTCCATGGCGCCGCAGAGGCCGTTCAAGACGGAGAAACCAGTGACGTTAGCGAAGGTAAAACCGAGTGTTCCGCCGGCTAATGGAAGCTGGCCGAGGCGGCCAAGAAACGCCGTAGTTATGGTTATCTTTACGAACCACGTTAAGTTCATAACGATGAGTGGAAGAGCGATGGTTCTCTGTAATTTCAGCTCGGAAATGATGTGGTTGGTGAAATCTTGGGAAACCCATTTGGTAGTTGCAGAGGTTAACGGCCCTGATTCCAAGGTAGAACAAGACACAGACATGTTTCACTTCAATTTCCTCAACTCAAAATCAAGATTGAGTTCATGTCGAGTTGGAGGAAGCGCTTGTTGTTGTTATGTAAGAGCTAAAGATTTGGGTGAATATTTATGAGATGCATGCAAACATTTTTATTTATTTTATATAATTTTGGAAAATATTTTGAGGTGGATTCTGTGATTTTAACTCAGTTTTTCTTTTAATTAATAAATTCATAAATTAATATGCTTAAATATTTAAATTGGGTAAAGCTGAAAAATCCAAGATATGTGATTGATTGAAAGTAGTGTAAGTTCAACTTTATTCTTTTCCTTTTTTTTTCAAAAATAAAAGTGAAACTTTATAACTTTTTTCGTTAAATAAACAAATTGAAAATAAAAATAAAAAAATGGTGGAAAGCTTATCTAGAAGAAAATAATGAAGAGCAATAAATAATTAATTGAGTGAGAGGGCATTCCACTTTGGTTATCCATATTGAGTGTGTGATGCTTTCATGAATCCCACTTAACTTAATTCTTCATTCTTCCTTATGATTCACCACTCACCCATCCTAATTATTATTATTATTATTATTATTATTATTATAAATTCTTTTATATGTATATACATTAGTGGTTGCTTCACGCAACATACGATGTAAGAGAAATGCAAACATTCGAACCCAATATAAAAGGCTTTTTTGTTTATTATCCGTACCACATTTACGACCAATATCAAAATAAGGAGGGAATATCTTGTTTATAGACAAAATTTGATATTGCCAAATTAAAGTAAAAAAAACAAAAAAAATGCTCCTTTGACATACGCAACTATAAAGTATATGCATGCAGCCTTGGTGAAGTTATCATAATTTTAAAAGGCTTTTGTTCTCTTTCGATGATAAACGATCACGTGTGAACACTCTTTTTTAGTTACGTTTAACATTATTAGCAAAAAAATCATTCGTGCTAATAGTGTGACAAATAAATATAATTTTATTAGTATAATGAATATGAAATATACAAGGTCGAAAAAAAAAAAGAAATTTTTTTTTTTAAGATAGCCCCACACGCACATATTACTTTCTTAAAATGAAAAAGGATAGATACGGTGCCTCTGTTCCTTTTGTTTAAAGAATGCTTTAGAATAATTTAACTTACCCCATAATGAAGGCCAAACCTATATTAGCCTTTTTCTTTTCTTTTTTTTTCTTCTCTTTTTTTAATTTAATTTAAATTCAATTTTTTTTATATTATATTATATATATATATATATATAAAGAAGTTTGTACATTTATTTTGCATTATTCCTCAATTTATTGTTTTATTTGGTGCAATCATTCCTACCTTTGATTCTAGTGGTCCATAACTACACATATAAATCTCCTTTTTGCAAGGAAAAGCTAACCATTATTTATTTTTAATTTTTAAAATTTGAATCTATAAATATATATATATATACTTTAAATTTTATCATCTACTTTTTTTCAAACTCTTTCTATGAATTTATTATAATAAATATGTAGAGCAAAATAAAATTTTGGAAAATATGATCCTTTAAACAATCAATCATGCTTTTCTTGTGAAAAAAAAAAAAAAAAAATCTTTGTTTTGAATTTCCTTTAAAAAAAATGAAAAAAGGGGTCCATGTGGATTATTTTTGGTTTCTTGTGAGAAGCATCCACTGCCTTTATGGAAAGCTGGGACGACAACACACTTCCAATCATTTAAATATCATATTTTTTTAGTGTTTAAATTAAATTTGAGACTAATAATTTGGACATGAAACTTTAAAAATTATTAAAATAATGGACAATAAACAACAGAATAAATATATATAATTTGTGATTATGAAGCCTACTATAAGCAGCAACAACAACATTACAGGGGCATGGGCCATGATAAGAGAGCTAAAAAGAGGAGTGTAAAAGCCCAAATAGTATTGGGCTTTCAAGACAAGCCCAATTAAAAAAACATCTGGGCTAATGAGTGCATGTCCAATGATTTCGGATAACTCATCTCCCTCTTTAAATTTGAATATGATGTGAATGAGATGTAGATCACATTTTGAATGTTGTTGATGATCAAAATAAATGTCCACTTCAAAAAAAAATATAAACTTTGATAAGTATTATATAAATGTGTGTTCATTACTTTAAAATCTCTGTCTTGTTCTCTCTCTCTCTCTAGATGTAATAAATTTAGAGTAGCCGACATACACACACACAATGATTTTGATGACATTTCCAAATATTGTTGTTGTTTCTTTTCTTTTTTTGGGTGTCCCTACTTTTCCCTTTTCAAATCTTTAGTTTATAATTTTCCATTTTCTCCCCCAAATCCAAATCCAAATCCAAATCCAAATCCAAATCCAAATCCAAAGTACTTATTATTAATATAAAGTAATGAAAGTTCCTTTCTTTGGTAGTTAAAACTACGAAATGATTATATAATTGATTTGATAATATTATAAAGTTTTAAAGCATCCCCCAAGATGGGAGATGTACGCAAAACTTAATTTAGGATTTTGGGTACTCTTTTTAGCTTTAATAAAGATGTAAGGAGATTGGATAAACATAGATTTTGATTATTGTAGACAAAATGAAAGCAATAATATTTGTTAGTCCCAAAAATAGTGTGATAATGAATAAGGAGTGGAGTCAACTGAGAAGGGTTGAGAGTGTCATGTGGGTTTCTTGAGCTCCAATGTGAAGAAGCAGAAAGCATCCCAGATTCGAGGCATATTTGCATTTATTTATTATTATTTATTATTATTTATTATTATTTATTATTATTATTGTTGCCTCTCACATGCCCACCTTCCTCCATCTTTCAATCCACTTCCCATAATTATCATTTTAATATAAACCCTAAACCCATCCCATTCCCTGTGTTTCTTTTTATAATTATAATATTTGTGTCTCACTTTCATCATTGCTGTCACACCTTCCTTCACCTTCATCTTGTTGAACCCTGTTTTTGGTTTATTCATTTATTTAATACGAACACTTCCAACTTTTCATTCATCATTAATCAAAACTATATAGTTAGTTATGTTATTTGCATTATACTCTTACCAATACCTAACAGCTTCATGATTAGTAAGGTAAGGTAAGGTAAGGTACAAAAGCATACTTAATTTAATTTCTTTTAAACAAATGGGTGGCCATCATTTCCTTATCACAGGATGGAAGCTGCCCTACATCACCTAATCATTTTGTCCTTAATAAACAAACACCTTTCCTCTTTAATTATTGTTCCCTTCTCTTTACACTTACAAAATTTTAAGTCAAATCAAAAGGAGTTTCAATATAAATATGAGGCTAATGGTAGTTAAAATGAGAAAAAAAAAAAAAAAAAAAGAAAGGGTATATTAATAAAAGCAGTGTTTGCTTAGAATCTGTAAATGGTAGGCATTGGAGGATGAGAGAGACCGACACAAAGCATCTTGTGCTGCATCAGTTAAGTAAGTTTGCAGACACCAAAATATTAATAAATAAATAAATAAAGTTATTGGTTTTATTAGGTTAAGCAGGAAACCCTGTGTCTCCCTCCCCCCCTTTTCATTGCTTTTCTTTTTCTCTCTACTTATCCATATCTAATCAATTTCTTCAATTTTAAATAATTAATTTTCATCCTCCTCATTCATAACCTAATGTTATTTCATATAATTTTTTAATACATACATATCCCTTTCATATGAAGGAAGCAAACCGCCTGCCTCATTAAAAAAAGAAAAAAAAAAAAGAAAAAAAAAAAAAAAAGGAAGAGTATTAATTTAAAAAGAAAAAAGAAAAAAGAAAAAAAGTAGTGTGGGGATTCCGGTCACCGAGAAATAGACCCGAAACAAGCGGGGGATAATACACGTGTCAAAACTTGTATGTGGACCCAACTTATTTAGAATATAAAAAATGACATTTAAAGCCTGGGTAGTGACAAGTGGCTTGACTCTGTGATGAGGCGGGAGTAGAGCCGATGATGTTTCAATCTTATCTCTCTCTCTTTCTCTCTCTTTGTGTCTTTAATTTTTCCATTAAATTTCCGTGATGTGGTATTAATTCAAATCAAAACTCATTAATTGTTGTTTTTTTTTTTTAAATATAACAAACATTTTCTCCACCACTTACTCATCTCTGTCTCCCAAATTTATATACAAACAAAAAGTCAAATTAACAATTATTTCATATTTACATTTTTAAAAACATGCTTTTCAACTTCATCAATATATATTTACTCATTTATCCACGTATCAACACGAGTTTTTTTTCAAAACTTTTAAGAGATCAAATCCCTCGACATAAAATTACTTAATGTAAAATATATTTTATCATAAAGTTTATATAATTGAACCACTGAAAACCAATGTTCCTCTTATTGATATGTGTAATAATTTTTAATTTTTTTAAAATTTTTTAATCATTTTATCATCGAGATCACTCTCTATTGAAAATAATTGGATAGTTCAGATCTCGATACACAAACTTATCTCGATTGAATTGTTGAATTGATATAGGATCCAAGTTTTGAGAGTATATTCTTATTTTAAATGGAAGATTCTATTGGATGATTCTATATAGATTCTTTTCTCATTGTTTTTTAAATGAATTACTGTATAGATTATGCATTTTCCTCTCCCACTATATAAAATCTTTTTAATTCTACCCTTCTAATTTTCAATTATATTATTATTGAAAACTTTGACTTTGATTCCAGTAAACTCTCTGGTTAGGTGATGTGAAACACTAGTTAAACTAAAAACTAATGATTTAACACATGTTTTAATCGGATAAAGAAAAAAAAAAACATAAAATATCAGAAAATTGGATGCAAAATGAGAATTGATGTAGAAAAAAAAAAAAAAAAAAA